ATTGGGCTCTCCAGGCCTGTAAATCCACCTGAAGCAGAACTATTTGCAACACTGACCCCAGCGCATTTTAAGATGACCTCACGAGCACATCATACTGATTGGCCCATATATTTTAAACCTGAAGATTCATGAAAACCGGGGGGCAGTGCCTTCCTCCCGAAGATCTGAAATCCACCGCTACACTTCTAGCAACTATATGTGCTATTCACATCGCGGTCGTAACTGCCAAGCAAGAGAGTGCGAGCATTCCAATCATTTCCTCTGGGGCCATAATTGTCACTATAAGCTGCAAATGTTGAGGAAAAATGTGGACATGTCCAAAGGCTTTCTGGGCACCTTTATAATTGCCTTGTGGAATAGTTTAATGTGATTCCTCTCCAAGAGAGTATAATTTTCCAGTGAAGAGCTGTAATCAATTTTTAACGTTTATTAGTGATGTTTTTGTGCTTCAAATGCATGAGAATATCGTTTTATTTGAAGAAATCAAGTTTAGCGAACGCACATCTTCGAGTAGTCATCATCAGCAAATTATATAAATACAAGAGAGGGTAGTGGGACAAAAGTCTAAGCATCCAATAAATAGTAAGAAATGAGGGAGAAGGTGTTCTACGAACAAAGGGTCAGATGCAGGACATGTTAAGGACCGGATAGGGGAAGGGATCCGACAACTGATTGATGCCGCCGCGTCGTCAATGTCTCGCGACGCACTCTGAGTTGGTGTTCTTCAGAAGAGGTCTTATTGCCTGTATAAACGCCGTTTGTGCGCACAAAATCGGGTTAGTTGGCCGTATGGAGACTCCTTCTACCGTTGCAAGCACCCGCTGATACAGGAACTTGGAGTATCTCGGTGGCACTTATAAATGACTCAGGACGCTTAATTGAAGGCTACCCAGTAACCGTTGCTTACCACATAAGCCATAAGCGCGTTAGATAGGGATTTTACCATACCTCAGTTGAGTCTGGTAGGGTAATTTTTTCGCGTCCGCTTGGATAGATACCAAGTTTTTTGACCAAAATTACCTGCCCCACAGAAGCAAGTATAGGCGTAGCTGCACATTGAAAAGGTCTGAAAGGGGAGTATATCCTTACCTTCAAGGTGAAGAAGTGGAGCGCTTGAATATGTTTTGGCAGCTGGATACGTGCACGCGATTGGAGCATTTGAGCGAAAATTTAGAAGTCCGCTCGGTGGATCCCCTCTAAAAGGCAGTGTGAGGGATAATGTTTTCAGTTGACCCAATTTTGAAAAATTCGTGACCTCGGTGGGATCCAAAACAACATCATCAGAGATGGTTTAGTACAGCCAACGCTCTACCATTTGAGCTACAAAAGTGTACTGAATTATTCAAATCTGCTTAACCCTCTTAATAATAAGTATACCTAGTAGTCATTCTGTTAGACGGCTTAGGAAATCCTGCCTGGGCAGTCAGCTTGTTGCATTCGTAATGATGGATTCCATAAGTGCAGTGGGCCGGGTCGGTACGTCGACCCAAATGTGATTTACTTCAAAGCTCTCGGCGTGCCTTCGTAGCTCAATTGGTAGAGCGTTGGCTGCATTAAAGCATTCTCTGTGGATGTGGGTTCGAATCCTACCGAGACCACGAATTTTTCACATTTGGGTCCGTTGAATTATTCAAATCAGAAAAATCCCTCCTAAGTGTGTCAGGTAGTCATTCGGGTGGATTCTAGGTGATTTCTTAGGCCTTCCTGCCTAGGCAGTCAGCTTACTGTATCAGTGTTGGTGGATTCCATACTTGCAGTAAATTGGGCGGGTAAATCAATGCAAGTGTGATAAATTCACGGCTTTCGGCGTGTCTTCGTAGCTCAATTGGTAGAGCATGGGCTGCATAAAAACATTGTCTGCTAATGTGCGTTCGAATCCTACCGAGGCCACGAATTCCTCACAATTGGGTCAACTCAATTATTCAAATCTGTTACCCCCCTCCCCCGCTCTACTACGTAAAGTTTAGATTGTGAGGGCCTTTTCTCTAAAAATATTTTTATAAGTTTTTCGGGAAAGCCGTTTTCTTGCAGCGTGTTTCGAATAAGGGCGAGTTAGTTCTCCAGTT